AGGTCCGCAATATAAATGCATGAGATAGTGCAACTTAGTGAGACTACAAAGTCACCTGCTGTGATGGCCTGGGTGGGGGAGGCTGTGTCACCAACACCACACTAACGTTTCATATCGCCTTCACTCCTTTGATCTTTCTTCGTTATGAAATGTTTTATATATGTGAAATTTTGTAAATCTTCATTTAAGGGCTATGCCCTCAATTCTCTTTCCTTATTTTATTCCTAACAGTTTCTCCCAGGGACCCTGCAAAAGTAGGAGCTCCTTTCTTCTCTCTTCAAACCCACACCCTTAGGACACAGAAGAAAGAGCTTTTGCTCTTCCACAAGACCCAAGAGTCCTCATGGTCTACATCACCTCCTCTGAAAGTGTTCAAATTCAGCCTGTCTCCTCGCTTTCACTGCAGGGAGGTCTTTCCGGTCATAGGCATCCTGAAAGTTGTAGCCCTGATGTTTGGTGTCACATTCGCACTGTTTTTTCGGAAACAGCCTAAAACAAGCAAGAGAATTGTGAACATTATTGGGTGGCTGGTCTGGTGGTGAGAGGGAGCCTGAGGCCTGATCCAGTGTGTCATTCTGAGGTTCTCCTTCCCCATCCCTGCTGGGCTAGTTGGGTTGAGACTATCTCAGCGGCCTTCGTTAAACTTGAGAGTCACAGGAATTCCAGTGGCATCTCAGCCCCACCAGAAGAGGAGGCCAGAAGGACGGAAAGGCAGCATCATTCCTGTAGTTTTCGTTAAAAGGACCCTCCAAAGTTTTAATGGACTTAGCTGGGAGCTGTAGAGAACAGAGACTGTGCCCTGAATACCAAGCCCTTTTCTGGTCTCACAGTTTGGAATCACTTTATCAGCCAGCACAGGTTCAAGAAGATAGGGAACCATCTGTAAAATGGGCGGAGAGGAGCATGAGAGATGTCAGGCCAAGTTCAAAGAGAGAGGACATGTGATATCTCACCAGATCCCATCATAGGTAAAGAGGTTCCTGAGACGTTCTTCAGATAGAAGCTTTGGCATCCGGACAACTGGAGCAGGACGAGGGAGCTCTGGTTTGAGGTCTTCATAAAGGTATACATTTCTGAACATAACCAAAAGCATGCCAGGTCCTAACACTAGGAAGGACATCTTGCAGAGCCACAGAAATCTAGAGTTGTTGGGGCACAAAAAAGCAAATTCCATTAAAACCTTTTGCCTTGATTATGCATTAAATGACTTGATTATGTAATATGTATGGGAACGTAACTTGAAGAAAAAATGTAAGTTAAACCTCTATCTTATACTATTTACCAAAATTGACTTCTGACAAATAAAAAAGAATCAAGTCACAACAAAGAGACTCAGAAATATCACAAATAAAAGAACAGGCAAAAATATTCTGAGAAAAAAAAGAATAAAATTTGTAATATTAATGTCAGCATGGTTGAATTCAAGGCAAAAAAAAGTATTAAATAAAACATATAGGATCACTTACAAAGATCAAATGTATGATCCACAAAACAGAAGAAGTAGTCATGAATTTTATCCACTAAAATAATAGCACAAAGTACACAAGGCAAAAAAATGGCAAGATAGAAAAGAAGAAGGATTCAAAATACAAAAGTAGTCATAGGTTCTAACATTCTCATATCTCCGTCTTTAACAGGTCAAGTCTCAAAAACACAAAACAGCAAAGCAACTAAATGACAGAATTCATATTCTGTGAAAGAGCTCTTAGAACATTTACAAAAATTGGCCACATACTTGGACACAAAAATAACTGTAAAAGAAACCTTTCAGATCATGCACTCTGACAGCGCAATTAGTAACCTACTAACAAACTCCCTCTCCCAACAATGTGGAATTTTTAAAAAGCTTTCCAAAGCAACTCTTGAGTCAAAGACAAAAGAAGAACAGGAATATAAAGATAATAGATACTACATACCAAAACTATGGAACACACTAAAACTATACTGAGAGAAAAAGTTGAAGCTTTACATACAATTTCTAATCACAAGACAAAACAAAAAAAACTTAAGTAATCAAGTAAGAAGTTTGAAAAAAGACAACAAAATGAATATCAGAAATGCAGAAATAAGAACTTAATTACAGTGCAAATAGAAAGTGGTGAGTTAGAAAAAAACCTAAAATGATATAATTACTAAATCTGAGCACTGAGTAAATATATTTAGAGATAGCTGTCTATTTCATAACCTCTTTTCTCTGAGACTTTTCTTCTGACCCCCAGAGGTGACACTCACCAGCCTAGTTTATATTAGATGGTACTCCCTGGCCAAGGACTATTAAACCAAGGGTGAACATTTTGTCTGAATTGGGCCAATCAGCCAGAATTTTTTCCTAGGAATTGGGAACCAGAGATATTGATCAGCTTATCCTGGTCCCCTGAACTGAGAAGAAAGGGGAAAAGAAAAGAAGAGAGTGAAAAGAAGGTGAGAGACCCAAAGAGAAGCCTAGATCTCGAAAACCTAGAACAAAGAGACAACTTCCTAGAAATACAAAAATGACTTAAACAGACCTGTAAAGTGGGAAAAAAAAAACAAAACAAAACCTGAGGAAGCTGTCAAAGACCTGTGTACTCTTCCTTTCAGCAAAGCCCCAAATCCATGTTTCACAAGTGAACAACTCCAGCCTGGTTTATTAAAAAAACAGCTTTACAGTGATGCCAATATAAGTACTTACGAACAACGATATAAATATGCTAAATAAATGCTAGCAAATAAAACGCAATGATATGTTAAATGAACAATTCCCCACTAACAAATGGAGTTTTTCTTGGAATGCAAGAATGATTCAATGTTATGCAATTTATTAATAAATTTCACCAACTAAAAATTCAAGCCACGAGAAAAACTAATACAATTATATTGACAGATGATTTTAAAAGCATGTAATAAAATCCAACATTTATTTTTAATTTGTTAAACATCCCTTGTTTAAGAAAGGACCTAGAAGAAATGATGTCACACTAATAATTATGAACACACTTTAAAAAAACTGGAATGATCAGGTGGTCACTACCTTAACCAAGTGACCAAACTTAGCATCACTAATAGTGAGACAACCTGACAAAATGTTCCCACTGATGTGGTACGTTATGAAGTTACACAATCATTTATGGAGTATTAATGCCAAAAATGTTTAACCAAAATGTAATAAGGCCTCGAGATCTAACTTCTAGTTTATAGGAAATAACAGGGGAAAGATAAGCAAACCGGAAAACACCATCAAGAACAGACACATCAGGATATGAGACATTCTACAAGCCTACTGACCTGGAATCTTCAAAAGGACAATGTTATGAAAAAAAAAAACAAAGTGGAGACATGGAGATGGGGACCGCTTTTGATAGTTTAAAGAGACTAAGCAGATTTAACTACCAAATGCACTGTGTGACTTTCATGGGATCATTGTCCCCAAAACGGTTACAAAAGACATTTGGAGGACAATTATGAGTATTTGAACATAGGCTAAATGTTAGATTATGTTAGGGAATTATTAATTTTTTTTTAGGTAAGACGATCATATTATGATTATACAGGAGAATGTTCTTATTCTTAGAAGTACACTGAACTATTTAGGAGTGAAGTGTTAAGATGTCTGGACTTTCTTTCTATAGCCATGTTTCCCTGAACAAACCTGATCTCGTCAGAAGCTAAGCAGGGCCGGGCCTGGTTAGTATTTGGATGGGAGACCACCTAGGAAGACCAGGTGCTGTTAGGTGTAAAAAATAAAAATAAAAAAATAAGGGATTGTAAGCTGACAAATTCCTTGCAATCTGTGAGGTCAACCAAGGGTTGCCTCGCCAAGAAAAAAAAAGAAAAAGATGTCTGGAATTTCCCTTTTAAATGGTTTGGTCCTTTGAAAGAGAGGAAGATAAAACAAATATTTATTGTTGGATCTAGGTGGAGAGTGTATGAGTATTCACGGTAACATTCTTTACGTTTGCTTTAGTTTGACAATTTTAAAAATACAGCTTTGGGATTTATAAACAATTAAATAGAAATTCCTCAAGCTAAATAAGAAGAGGTGGATAACTTTCTTAACAAAGCAAAAGATTTATATTTCAAATCAAAAGCCAGCATTATGTTTAACAGTGAAACACTGGAAAATTTCATTTTAGACAGAAACAAAATAAAAAGACCTACTACAGTTATTTAACATTGTCATAAAGCACTAATAAATGCAGTAAGATCAGTTTATGGAATAAAAAAATATATAACAAAAAGGGGAATAAGAAGTCTAATTATTTACAGATGAAATAATTGCAAACTTGGAAAACTAAAATGTATTAAATGAGAAACCATTGGAAATAGTAAGATTTTAGTGGGGTAGCTAGTTACAAAATAAATATATTTGTTTAACTAAAAAAATAAAGCAGCTTTATTTATAATCATCAAAAACAGGAAAATATTTTAATAAATAATTATTATTCTTGTCATCTAATTACCACTTACTATGTCTAACCCTCTGCCAAGAGCTTTGTGTACATTATCTCATTTAGTTCTCACTACATAATGAGGTTCTATTACTACACCCAGTTAACAGATGCATTGGCTGAAGCTTAAAGAGGAAAAGTAAATTGCTTGGTTAATGATGGATGCAGGATTCAAAACCAGATCACACTTTCAAACATCACACTACTACCCAGTTTTTTATAAGCCAAAAAATATAATGAAAAGAGATCTAATTCAATTTAACAACACAAAAAGATAGAATATCCAGGCAGCAGAAACTTAAGAAAAAACATGTGGACCTATGTGGCAGACAGACTATTAAGGTGGCCCCCAGGAGCCTAGTCTCCTGGTCCTAGCAAAAGATTCTTGCTGTTCAGCATTTAAAATGTGCTTCTCATTTGTTCTATTGAAATTCCTAAAATCATGCAGTTTGAGTTATAAGTCTTTCTTAAATCTATTCTCATGCTAGAATCTTATTAACATATAAGAAATTTAGAGATTAAATTACCAAAATACTCAGCTCAATACTTGTATATTTTTAGTATCATATAGAATTAAAATCCCAGGGACTGTGAACATCCTAGATCTTCTGTGGTTTATCCTTTCGGTCATTTTAAATGTTGAAAGAAGGGCCTATATGGTTATCTGCCTTCTCATTTTATGTTAAATCTCCCATATTTGTACCAGTATACACCAGTTTGAGGCAACTGCTGGATTTTTGTTGAATTTTAACCAAATCTTACAGTAATTTTTGTCTTTCTAGAAATCTCATTTTGTGCTGTGAGAGAAAACCTCCATTTTGAAAATCTACATTGTAGAGAAGCACATCTTTAATATCTTCAGATTAAAAAGTCTTACAGTTAATTGAATGTTTGCATTTGGGGTATAACTTTACAGGAAGGGCCTGGAAAAGAATAAAGCTATTAAGTATATTTAGTAAAATGTTGCCTTTGTCTTATGCAAAACATGTAGAATATCTACTTTAGTAAACATCTTTAGAAGGTAGTGATGTTTGTTTTGCAGCTAAAACTATATTTAATCATAAAGTTTCTGAAATCTTATATGTTTTTATACGTTGGAAGTTGCTTACCACTATTATTTTTGTTTGAAGTGTGATTGATTATTTTCCTTTTCTTGCTAACTTCTCTTAAAAAGTGAGTTTCCGGAGAGCGGGAAGATGGCAGACTAGATAAAAACAGGATTCGTCTCCTCGCAAGACTGCATTGAAATTACAACCAAATTATAAAATAATCAATGTGAAGAATCACCTGAAATCCAACAGATCATAACACCAGACACCTGATAATATAAAGGAGCCACATCAAAGCCAGTAGGAGAAGCAAAGTCCCGAATCCAGCTGGACCCACACTCCCTGGGTGGTGGAAGATTACCGGGAGGGAGAGTGAGGTTGCAGAGGCTCTCCTGAAGGAGAGGGGTATCCTGGTCTCATTGAGGGGTTCTCCAGCACAGAGTCCCAGCCCGCCCCGCCTAACCTGCAGACTGCTCGGGGCAGGTATTACTGGATGGCTTCCAAGCCCTGCTCAGAGTGATTCAGGGCCAAGTAGTCACAGCAGGGCCATCGCTGAGAGTGGAGTTTCTAATCCCAGCAACAGCGGCCAGTGCTGTGAGCAGCATTTCAGAGATAGGGTCAGGCAGATCACTGCTGCCAATACGAACTTGGTTGGATATCAGG